GGAGGACTCAAGATCCTTTTTGAGTCTAGTTGTGTGAATTATTTAGAGAGGAAATGTAGTGTTTAGAAATGTCTGTAGACTTGCCCAAGGTCTTACAAGTAGTTTCTGGTTGACCACAGTACTTATCACATAGGGAAAAAGTAGGACCATTATCCTAGGGAATGTGACAAATATGTTTTCTTGCACAGTCTCTGTCTTAGTTACTTTTCTTTCATTGCAGAGACAAAATACCCAACACCCAAAATCAGGGAAGAAAAGATTTATTTAGCTCACAGTTTGTGGAGGCTTCAGTCCACCATCAGCAGGCTCCAGGGCAGGGTGGCATGGCAGAGGGGCAACACTTCAAGACAGCAGCCAGTAAAAGCAACAAGAGCAAAAGGGGAAAGCAAGCCTCTTTTCCTCCCTTATACTGTGTGCAGGCTGTTTGCCCACAGCATTCTGTGCCCTCCTCTTGCACAGGCTTGGGATATTTACAGTGAGAACTCTGGCCCCCTGCTGAGTCACTCAGTTAAATTTTTACTCTTCTGAAGTTGATACAATATAGCAACCATAACAGTCACCAAGTCTCGGATAATACCAGCTTTTACTTAGGGGCCTTTGCTGAGATTTCAGGCAACAGTGACACAGCAACTCTTTTTGTGAAATGTCATTGTTATTTTGAAAGCCATTCTTAGGACTTGAATTCTGAGTCATTCAGTAGAAAATTTTTATTAGGAATCATAACAGAGATATAAAAGTTTAATGATTAATTTTTTTCTCATGTTTTCCTGCAACCCCAGATACAACTGATTAAATCTGTGCATTCTTTATTGAGCTTTTCTGCTCAAGCCTGATGTGTCTGTCCAGTAGCTGACAGACTATGAACTTTTATTGGAGGGGAGGAAGCTGCTTTATTCTTCGTCTATGAAATCGAATCTGTGTGTTGTCAGGAGGGTGCTCTTGAGCAAGATGACTCATACATTCTCTGCAAATGGACCAGACCTGGTGTTTGGGGTTTGGATCTGGGACATGGAGGATAATACTTCTTTCTGTCAGTTATTTGGGAAGAGTCCCTGTGTTATGCTGAACTGCAGGGCAGGAGTGATTTGGTGAGGCCTGAGAACGGATGTTCCCAGGACAAGGGTGGGATGTTCCTGACAGCTGGCTTTCTGTAAAATTCAACAAAGAGATGCACATAAATATTTAAAAAATTTGTGGTTGGCAAGAAAATAAATCTGTATAGTTTTTAGTTTGAGTTTATGATCATGAAGAAAAAAATTTAATTCAGAACTTAAATTTATCATAGGATTAGCATTCTTATTTAACATTTCAACCCTTATTCAAAAACGTACCTGTGTTTAGGACAAATGCAGAATGAGCTCATTTTGAGAGTACCCACTTGCTGTGGTCAGGTGAATTCTGTTCTGAGGCTGGAGGAGGCCCTATGCCTGAATGGGACTGTGCAGATCTAGCCAGGGAGAGATGTCCTGGCCAGGGTGGGATTGCTAAGGACTAATGCAATGTGGAAGTAGAGAAGACAGCTGCAAAACTAAACACAGGGTAACATGAAGCTAGAGGACTTTGACAAATTGACAATTAGATGCAAATAAGAAATAGTCAGGACTAGATGATACTGAGCAGAAATCAGGAAGAAACTAATGATCCCAGACACACCTGACTTCAGGGCCATTTTTAGTCCTCGTTACACAAATTCATCGTCTTACTCTTTCACTCTGTTTCATCTCATACCATTAATGCCTGGACCTCCCATTGGCTACTTTCTGCGCCTGTGTCTCCAGTTTGCCCAGCCCATTCTCACCCTAGGGCCTTTGCTTGAGCTGCTCTGTTCACCTGGATGCTTTGCCTCAATCCCATCTCTACATAACTGCTTTCTTCAGAAGTCAGATGTCACCTGTTTGTCCACTGTGAAGCAGCCCTCAGCCAGTCCCTCTCTGTTACCTTACCCTGCTCATCCCTTTCCTGAAATCTTTTCTGTAGACTTATAATCCCCTGCATCTATCTACTGGAATGTAAGCACTGTGGGAACAGAAGTGCTTTCTGTTTAATTCACCATTAGATCTCCACTGTCTAGAATAGGGCCTGCCTCCGAGTTTATCCAGGGAGTCAAAGAAGAAAAGAAAGAGGTCAGACAAAATTGCAGAAAGGGAGCCCACTCATGTAGCACTCTTCCATTAAACGCTGGTTTCTAAACTGAAAATAAGGAGTCTGTGTTATGTGCGTATATGTATTCCTAAGTTTTCACACAGTATTTAAACTGACTGATGTGGACAAAAAGCTTAATATTTGTTAGATAGCAGTTCAGGCCTGGTGACACATGACTGAGTCCCAGCTACTGGGAGGCTGATACAAGATGATCGTTTGAGCTCATGAGTTTGAGAACAGCCTGGGTACTAGAGTAAAACCCGTCTCAAAAAAGAAAAGAAAAGAAAAGAGAAAATAAATGAAAGAGCATTTTTACAAATTAAACTTTCATTTCAGTTGTACTAAATTGGTTGTTTATAGACAAGTAATGAAGGCAGCTTTGGGGACAAGTCAGTCTTAGGAGCAACCGATCATATCCACAGGGAAGCTGAGGGTTCTCAGTTGAGTTGAAAGAACCTCAGTAAAATTTTCTAGTAACAGAATTTTTAAAAATAGGCCTTGGATTGATGTAGGAATAAAAAAAGCCAGCATGCAGAGTAAATTTAAATTTATGCATCTTGTTGTTATTGTTATTGTTATTATTATTATTATTTGGTACCGGGGATTGAACTCATGACCTAGCACTTGCCAGGCAGGCCCTCATGCTGCTGAGCTAAAATCCCTGGCCCTTGTTATTATTTTTAACAATGGATCCATAACAACTCAAAAAAAAGTTTTTGCTTCTCACGGCCAAATCCCTGTGGACTTTGTTGTCCATGGAGTTCACTTAAAGACTTTTACACAGGAGCCTGGGCCTGATATGTGGGCTTTGCTGCAGAGAATGGAATCAGTAGTTCACCCAGGACTGGAACAGGGCCTTCCTCAAGTGTGGCTGAGGCCAATGGCTAACAGCTGGCATTTGGACAGCTGTGGCATGCTGGACAGTGACTCTGTAAGAACCGGTGTTCCTCTCAGACACATAAGATTGAGACTGATCACCCTGTTGCTGTATTCTTTGTATCTTACATTCTCACCTTTTTACTTAATCTATTATGGATTATGGTTATCAGAAGCTATTTGTTAATACATGTTATCACTTAAAAAGCGTTGCAATCTGGATAAAACTAGGCCATGTTTTCCTTTCATCATTCCTTGTGTCACACCCACCTCACTGGCTCCTTAGCAACATTTTTTGGTTTCTATCATGTTTAGGTAGCTGTTTTCTTCCCTTGGATACTGGTAGTGCAGGTGTGCTTGGAAGATACTTACTTATTCCTTGGATAAGGTCTGGTGCCTGAAACTGCTGCAAATTCCTCATAGACCCCAGGTCCCATGTTATAAGTCCATGATGTAAAGTACACTAAGAGCGATCAATCTGAGGACACACAGAGATCATTCTGACAAGTTGTTTTGATTTTTTTTTTCTAAATTAATGTTTACACTGAAACAAAACAAACTTCATATGCAACTTTCAGAGTAGGAATTTTTAAAAAGATATTTAAGCAATAGAAATTTGTCTAAGCATTTCTTCTAAATGTTAAAGAATTATGCCAAATTATCCTCAATCTTCACATAAAAAGTTTCTGTTGCATATAAAATAGTTCTATGTGTTACATTTCAGCTAATGGATAGATTACTATCCCTTGAACATTTACAGTACATTGTCCACATTTTACAGGGCCTGCAGCATAATATCACTATTTTGCATTATACAGCTTTAATGCTTTTACGTTTGTTTCTTTGGAATATAAACATTCAGAAGTAAGAGATACAAAATATGAGAGCCTGCTGAGAGGGCAACTGTATTGTTTACCTTTCTGTTTTCCTCATTTAGTCTTTTCTTTCTCAATTAAAACAGTCATTAAAAACATTGTAGAAGCTCAAGAAGATTCTTTTTGAAAACTTTTTAAACCATTTAATTAGAAAATAATCTTATATAAACATCAGGGATCATACTCGACACTATTTCATAATCTGATTTTCATTATATAAAACAGGAATAAAATGATTTCATTTATTAAAACATTCTTTTAAGACATGATTTTAATAATCCCTGGTATTTTATCCTGTAGCCATGTTATAACCCCCTGTCATAGGAGGTCAGCTAGGTGAGGGAATAGTCTGAAACACCCTCCGGTAATCTACTAGTTGGAACTATGGATTGCATCCTTTAGTTTCATTGTTTTGGAAGTAGCCTCAGTTTTAGAGTGATTGACTTGAAGATTTAAAAAGTTATTTTACTTGAGAAATAGAACACTCAGAAAATTGTTCCAATAGCTTTTATTACTAGAACGTTATTATTGTAATAGAATAATTATCTGGCACATTATTAGATCTCAAATATTCACTGCTAATTACATTTATTGTTTTCAACTTTTCCATATGATAGTAATGAATATCCGATATCATGAATATCTTTTTAAAATGTTTTGCTCTTATCCATTTATTTATCTTGTTTTGTTTTGTTTTGTTTTGTTTTACAAGTGGAATTATGACTTTGGTATACATTCTAAATTACCCATCATTGCATACTCTACAAAACTGTAGGAAAGAAGGCAACTATTCCATAGTGAGTGGTGTTTCTGGAAATGTTTTATGGTAGGAAATGACAACTGTCCACATGAGGTCTTTTGCAGTTCTCCAAAATCATTAACTATTAAACAATGAGATTTATACAACATTGCTCTTCATTTTCAAAATTTATATAGTCTTTTAGAAAAATTATTAAAAAGTAAAAACTTGCATCTACTTTGGGTATGTTAGTATATTAGTCTGATTTTTGCTTGAGGAGATATTTATATTTTTATGAAAATTTGGACTTTACTATGTACATGCTTAAAGTGTTCCCCCACTAAAACTAATATTTTTCTATTCTAAAGAAGAAAGCAGCAAGCCTCGGGAGCAGTCAGCCCTCCAGAGCCCATGCTAGTGGCACAGCCCAGGCGACAAAGGTCAGTCATTTCTCGATTGCAAAAGACCCCTACTCATCTCTGTGCTACAGGGCATCACCTCCCCAGTGGGCAGGGTCTGTGGAGAACAGCCATACTCGTATATCACTGAGAAATATTTGAACAAACTATCCTTTCTGAGTTGGAAGGGAGAATAGTATTTCCTTTCTTTTCTTTTCCTTTCCTTTCCTTTCCTTTCCCGTTCTTTCCTCCCTCCATTCCTCCTTTTTTCTTTCTTTCTTTTTTTCTTTCTTTCTTTCTTTCTTTCTTTCTTTCTTTCTTTCTTTCCTTCTTTCTCCCTTTCTCTTTCTTTCTTTCTTTCTTTCTTTCTTTCTTTCTTTCTTTCTTTCTTTCTTTCTTCCTGTCTTTTGAGACAGGGTGTGACTATGGCAGTGGTGACCTTGAGCATCCTATATGTAGTCCAGGCTGTCCTAGAACTCATGATGATTCTCCTGCTGCAAAATCAGGGGATTATAGGCATCTGAAACCACACCCAACAAAAGGATATAAATTCTAAACAATGATATAAGTGATTTGAAATCTAGTAAAACCATTTATGTTATAATTATTCCCAGCATAGAAAAATATGACAAGTAAATAGTATTATCCTTATACAGGACTTCTGCACATCTTGTGAGGAAAATACTGCCCTCTTTCTTCTTCAGAACATAATTCAAATTTCCCTCACAAGCATTAACCGTATCAGGCTCTCTAAGGGTTCTGTGAAATTACCTTAGGTAACCCTCTCAAAACCTTATTATTTTTATTATTCCTTTATACTAAGGAACCCAGGCTCACAGAAGTTAAGTGATTTGGACACACTCACAAATCCAGTAAGAAGGAGGCAGTGTTAAAGCCCAGCTTTCCTACACACTCAAGGTCCGCACCAATTGTCTTAGTTACTTTTTACTGATTGCTGAGACAAAATACCTGAAGCCCAAAGTTGGGAAAGGAAAGGTTTATTTCTTACAGTTTTTGGAGTTTCAGTCCATACGCAGTTGGCTCCAAGGCAGGGTGGCATGGTGGTGCCGCAGTTCATGGTGGCTGCGAACAGCAAGGCAGAAACCGGCAAATGAGCGAGACACATTTTCTTCCTGCCGTTACACTATAGGCTGGCTCCTCCCCTTTGTGGGTGTAGCACTGACACCATCAATCCAAGCACTATGCAATGAACCAATCACAAATGCACAATGCAAACTCATGAGGCCTGGGTGTCACTGACATAAACCATGACACCAATGATGCCAGGTCCCACAAGCACTCACTGAGCATTTTTGTAATGCATCACCTCAAAGCTTTGCAACTTATAGAAAAAAAATCACTGAAACCTTACTTTTCAGCAAAAGAAACTATAATATTGTCCAATGGTTTTTAATGACCATTTTGCGTTCAATCATTTCAACTCTGCGGTCTTCCAGTATGTCCAGATTATCTAAAACCTTAGTCTGTTTCAGCACTCTATCCACAATGATTTTAATAAGCACTCTTTCCTTTCAAATTGGTGGCCATATGTGGAAGTCTGTGGACTCTTTCATTTACACCATTTGTTTCATTAGCATCTCCCAGAGCTCCATGTTCTGAAAGATGCCCAAACCAAGAATGAGCTGAGAAGTGACCACAGGCTGAACTCTCTAAGCTAGGTGCAGTAACACATCCCAATTTAAGACTGTGAGTGTGCTTCATAGACATCTTCAAATCTTCATTCCACCATCCTGTAAAATGATAAAAATCACTGATCATCTGTGAGTTTTAAATAGAGAATCTTAAACACTCATGTTGGGACCAACCTGAATCTCTTCTGCTGCCACTCCCTAGGGTTGCTGTTTGGTAAGGAGACGCTGCTCAGTCAGCCAACAGCCCCAGGTTTAAGTTTCCTCTTTGCCACTCTTCTCCTTGATCCCAGCGAGCCTAAAGGAGACTCATCTTATCAGAGCTGTTGTGAAACTGAGCTGAAATTAAACATTTAAACATAGATCCCTAGGCCTGGGCCCTGGGAACCCTGGTGCTGGGGAAATCTGTCTCGATGTGATTATTCCCGTAAGTCCTCATTGCTGTTGCTTGACAGTCTCCAACTGGAAAGATTATATGTTATGCTTATGTGGACCTATATTTAACTCACAGCAAAATTATACCTCTAAAAATGAGAAGGCTCCATAGCAAAGCTCACACACAATGATATTTAGTGAAGTCATTTGTAAATTTTTTCCAGGATTGCAATTACCTAAACCTTTGGAGCTTAAATGCATTGTGGAAAAACCACACCTAGTGTTTTTCTTGAAAAAAATTTGACTTGAAAGTAGGAGCCAGAACCTTTTCCCTGTCACTTTTTCCACACAGGAAATTTTCATCCAGTCTTTCTGAGGTGTGATGATTGTAAGGAATTTGATTCCCCCAGCTCTGTTCTGTCCAGAATTCGGGGTTGGGGGTGTGACAGAGCAGGGAAATGCAAGCATCTTAGCTAGCTGTGTGTGGGTGTAGTACTTAAAGTCAAGCCTGAAGTTATTTGCTTACCTTCTAAAACACTGTCCTTCCCTACCGCCAGTATTCTCTCTCTTGTAGCTCTTGCTCACTAGGTTTTTCTTTCCTTCGGGAGCCTCCTGCCCAGATTTACCAGGGTTGCTTTCTCCCCTTCCACCTTTTTAACTCTTAAACAGTTATAAAAGAGAAACCTGCCTTCCAGTTTCTCCTTTTGATGTCATATTGGAGTTCCTTAGTATGAACATCTCTTTTAAAAATTATTATTCCCAGGCTTCCTTGAGAAAAGGGGATATTAGCATGTGTGATAACTTGAAACCTATTATTACACAGTGTACCATAACACATACAGGTAAACTGATACTCCCCCAAACCATTCAGAAAAGTCACAACCAACTGGTAGATGTAATTGGCAGTGAGAATTTGTTCTGGTTTTCTTGGGACATACTCGCTTAAGTGATAATTTAAAAAAATATTGCAAATACCATAGAGTTGATCTTCAAAAAAAAGTATTTAATTTGAAGCTAATGTGCAAACTGTATATTATAGAATGGTTTTCACACACTACAGAACTGTTTCATGAGAATTCTCACAAAGTTAATAAATGTGCTCATAAATTGTGTCACTTCATCCATGCAGTCCTGAGCTTTGATCCAAAGCTCTTAAGTGGAATAGATATCATGGACTCAAAATAGTTAATGCAAAAAATCAAGTGCTTAAAATGCAATGTTTGGTAAATTAATAATGAAGACTAATGAGGCTGCAGAAATCATAGACGCTTACAAAATCAACATGAAGATAGTTGCGATCCATAACTACTCACGTAGTTATACGCTGGAACAATTCTTAGATAATTTACCATCAAAATAGATTGTTTGGAGGCCAAGTTTCAGACTGCAAGAGAAATATCTCTGTTGAAGACTATGCTATTAAGATGCATCAGTTAAAGGTGTTAGTTCCACTCAGAATCTATTCTGACTAGGTTAAGCCAAAAGGAGCTTCTTAAATTTTCTTAAGTAAGTAGCTTGAAGGGAAATCTGGAAAAGTCCAGCAGGAAGAATGTAGAGCCTCACAACCAGAAACAGTGCACGATGGTTGGGGGTTTCTCCTGTTACACTCAGCACCAACAAAGCTCAGCACCTCACATATTCAGGACGAGGTGCCAGAAATTCTGCCATTGCCAATCCTGACCCATGAATACCTCCTTATAATGTTTATTTCCCTGTGGGCAGTGGTCTCCTCACATGGCCCACCACAGTCTCATTCTTGTGTGGCACATCCATCAGATTGACCAAAGTAAATCACATGCCTCTGTCATGCTATGGGGGAAACTGAGGATACGACTTTTCTGGGTTCTCTTTTAGGGAAGCACATACTGATAAAGGGGAAGTTATCAGTATGTGGGGAAGGTTTCCAAATGTGTGGCCAGCTGCCAAATGACACCTATCCAGCAGGGAGAGGAAAACAGAATTAGGTGATTGAACAATAGGAAGGTCATTGATGGCAAGTAGCTCAGCAATTAGACACTTAAACAGACAGTAGAAATAACTTCCTGCCTAGAGAGGAGATCTACAAAAGACTAAATGGCTATAAAGGAAATACTTTGTGACTTAGGTTCTGTTTTTCATAGTTTTGAGAACATTGGCAACACAGCTCTCCTCTCAGATTCTTTTCTTGTTCATAATTTGATCCAGGAGTTGATAGATAATGTATTCAGTGTTACAATCACTCCACCGAAACCTCAAAACATGGGTGGTTATGAGGTAACTCTTCATGAAGACAGGCAAGCATTTTTGCTTTAATAATTGTGCATATACTTTAAGGTGCTATAAAAAAGTAAAGTGGACATAAACTTTATAACCCTATGGATATTTTTGCTTAAAACAGATTAAAAGATCAATCTATTTTCAAATAAGTAGACATAATATAATTATGACAGACAATTATATTATGGCGGTATGTAGGTAACATATACAGCAAAACTTTGAAAAAATAAGATACAACCAGTAATTATCATATTTTACTGTGCATATTGAATCAGTAGGGTTTTTATTAAAATGATGACTCTAATTCAGAAAATCTGGGTTGATGCTGAGATTTTCTTTTTAACAACCTCCCAGGGGTTTGCTGGCCTGGAAATCATACTATGAGTAGCTAAGGGGCTGAATTGTACAAAATGTGAGTGGTTTAAACTCTCTGTACTTTAGGTTGCCTAAGAATAAATTAGAAAATCTGATTGAAAAGCAGATTCTCTATTTTCAATGCAAGAGATTCTGTTTCACCAGGATAGAGCAATGCCCAAGATTTCATCTAACAGTGCAGGGGCATCTCCAGTGTTTCAGGGGCAGGTGACCCAGAAATCCTCCCTGAAGGAGAAAGGATGGTGCTCAGAGACCCTTACAACTACAGCAGCTCAGGGGAGCAGAACAGCTTCCTAAGTCTCCTATGAAGGCAGCCAGTCCCTTGCTCCCTGGCCTGCATCATATCCTCTTTGCAAAATTTGTTTCATAACCTTCAGTTACTTATCT